ATAAGATTTGGGTGGGGACAGAGCCAAATCATATCACTATTTAAAAACTCACTTTGCTAATATTTCATCCTATACATATTTAACATACAGTAGGCTCCTTTGACACTCACAAATTTAATCACATTTCCTATTCCTAAGAAAGTGTTAGGTAGAAACAACTTTGTGCTAGTTTGAAAGAAGTTTATACCCTCAGAAAGAACTGGATTACAGAAAGGTCAAATAGGGAAGCCTAAGATTCTAAATTCTTTCTGAATCAGGTCATTACAACACAATGTAAATATTTTTGTTGAAAATACACTTTCAGAATACCTAACATACACACATATATATGTACAAACAATATAAAACAGATACAGAAATTTATGTATTATCTCCCATTTTGAATTGTCCATATTTTTATGCATCCTTCCTCTATCTAGAATGACTCCATGAGCACTGATTAACCTGTTCCCACCACTCCCCGAAAAAACCAACTCAAAGTTACCTGCTTCAAATTAATGTATTTTAACTTTGGTATCAATTTCCTGATATAGTTACAACAAAGAATAACTAAAATTTAAAAGGTTGCTTTCTATCCTACTTCTCCCTATTTTCAATAATTACAGCTAAAAAGTTTGGGCATTTTATTAAAACAAATATAAGAAAACTCTGGAATGAAAAGAGAAGGCCGACCAACTAGGGACCTGGGAATCCAAGGGGTGACAAAGCAGTGAGGTCTGTGAGTTTTCTTTTAGCCTCATACATCCCAAACTGGGGAGTAGAATGGCCAGCCCAGGAAACACCAATAGGCACAAAGGTCCCAATAAAAGCCAATCCTCTGTAGCAAAAGGGCCATAAAAGGCACAATCTAGCAAGACAGAAAGCTTTTAGACAAGTACCCTACACCAGCCAAATATAATGAAAAAAAAAAAAAAAAAAATACATGGCCCTACCTTTGAAACTTTTAATCAAGAGTAACAATGACTCAAACAAAATACTTTCTTCTAAATAGTCGTAGTGTAGGCCTATTAAACAATGTCCCCAATAGGACACTGAAAAGACACACTGCTCACCTTTTTCCTTATTTCCAAGTTTCACCTTTATTTTTAAACCACCTCTGTCACAAAAGGCCAAGCACTGAACCTAGATTTCCACTCTCACCCAGAAACTAATGAAGTGCCCATAGATGATTCTGATGTGGTATCAGAGAAAACCAAGTGGTTGTGAAGGCAGTTTTAGAACTTCTATCCCCATCCAAAAGAAAAACGACTCACTCTCTCCCTCCTTTCCTGTGTCAGAGGAAGCCAAGCAGAAAGCCAGAACTTTTATAACTATCCAGAGGTAACAAGATCTCCCCTACTCTCATGGTAAGGCAGCCATGAAACAGCAATAAGGTGCCTCTCCCTCTCCCAGCCAGGGACACAACTGCTAAAGCCTGTGGGGATCCTGAAATCCCACCTTAACCCAGGAATAAGGTGGTATTCCTCCTACCCAGAGTGTCAAAGGGGGCCAAGTGAAAAACTTGTCATTTTACTTGCACCTGACATTAACAAAATGGTATCTATCTTTTCCCAACATATAAAGTATCAGATGAGGCCTGCTAAAATACAAGATTTAAACAAGATCCAAGGTGTCATACAAAATACCTAAAATATACAAGATATAATTAAAAATCACTCATCATACTAAGAATCAGGAAAATCTCAACTTGGGTAAGAAAATACTATCAATACTAACACTGAGATGATACTTTTCTAACAAGGATTTTAAGGAATCATAATGAAAATGCTTCAGCAAGGAATTATGAACATGCTTGAAATAGAATAAAAAGTTTCAGCATGAAATGGAAAATATGAAGGAGAAGCAAATGAAAATTGTAAAACTGAAAAACACAATAACCAAACAAAATACAAATAATTGGCTCATCAAATGAATGGAAGGGACTAAGGATAGAAATGCTTTCTTCAGAGATGGTATGGTGAAATATAAGTTGAACAGTACGCCTGCTTTAACTTCAATTTGGCTATGAGATCTCCCAGTACATTTTTCTATAATTTATTTAGCCAAGGTGTTTAACACTCCATAAGTTACCCTTTCATTCCCATGCTATAAAAAGAAGAGTGAAACCTATTGGTACTAAAATGAAGTCATCCGAAAAAAAGTTTTCTTTGAAAGTACTGAGTCCTACAAAAGGAAGAACTTTGTGAATTGAGTACTAGCTTTGAAGACTCAAGTCATCACTCCTAGATTATCACTATTAATAGAAAAAGAAGTGAGAATGCCAGATAGCACTAATATTGGTCCTTACTATAAAAAACCCAAAGTGCTATATATTAGGTCTTACATAGTCTCTCTGATATGTTACTGTTCCCATTAATAGATGAAAAAAACTGAATTTTCAAAGATGTATGTCTCATTAAAGGGTCCAGAATAAGTTATTCAATGGAGACAAAAAAAAAAAAAAAAAGAACACAAAGTTATCTCATTATTCAGTACTATGCCTTTTAATTAGTACCATAATTCCAAGGATGAGGTCAGTAAGTGTGGCTATAGACAAAGTAATTAGTCCTTGGGGAGCAGGGTGCATGACATTAGTTCATGCGTTCATTCATTCAACAGTATTCACTGAACATGCACTATATGCCAGGTACTACTTGGAAGGAAAATTCTTGATCTCATGGAACTCACACTTTAGTGGAGAAAAGACAGAAAATAAATCAAAATAAAATCACAGGTAGAAATAAGTGGCATGAGAAAATAAAAAATAAAAAGGGCTAGGGAATGCTGAGCACATGCACAGGGCATTATTTTACATAGCATGATTAAGACACGCCTCCACAGGCCAGGCACGGTGGCTCAAGCCTGTAATCCCAGCACTTTAGGAGGCCGAGGTGGGCAAATAACAAGGTCAGGAGTTTGAGACCAACCTGACCAACATAGTAAAATCCCATCTCTACTAAAAATACAAAAGTTAGCCAGGCATGTTGGCGCATGCCTGTAATCCCAGCTACTCGGGAGGCTGAGGGCAGGAGAACTGCTTGAACCAGGGAGTCAGAAGTTGTAGTGAGCCAAGATCACACCATTAGCAACCGAGAGTCCATCTGAAAAAAAAAAAAAGAAGAAACACCTCCACAAGAGTAGCATTTGAGCAAGTATCAGAAGGAAGCCCAGAATTCAGCGAGAGCTATTAAAGTATAATTTTCAAAAAGTTAATCTGACTCATGCAAATACAAATTGAAGATATACCAAAGATTTATTCTGTTCATTTACTAATAAATTAATCATTTACCTTAAGACTGAATGAATGAGATATTAAGCCTGGTTCAAGCAGCATTTGAAGAACAGGATTTATACAGGAAATTTAACAGCATGGAGTGTTAGACTAAAAGCACTAGGTTAGAGACAAAACTTGTTAATATCCTACAGGGTAATTATATTGTTTGAAGTTATCTTTTCTAACAGAATTATTTGCATCTCTTCCGGGGACAAAAAAAATCTATAAATTAATATGTAACTTCACTACATCTGAGACTTTTATTCAACAGTAAACAGTGAATCAAATAAAGTACATTCTCCTAAGTACTCCTGAGGTAGGCACATTAAACAATGTCATCACAGGCGCTGAAAAGACCCACTGCCTGCATTTTACCTTATTTCCAAGTTTTGTATTTTTTAAAAACTAATCCATAGGAGGAACAGCATTCCAGGCAGAAATCATGGACTATATCCCTCTAATAGGCAAAGAATGTCCCTTCCCACATGTACTCACACGTTCTTCTATACTTTATTGTAAAGCTTGGTGTAAATAAATATCTGAGAGTAAACTGGAGAAGCCTGAAAATTTATTTTGGAAAGAAAATAGGAATTGAGTCTGGGATATGATTTGAGTTATATTTTTAAAACACTACTCCTACCTGTTGAATTAAAAACTCATTAAAGAAAAGAACAAGGGTGGGAGCTAGAAGACCACTTAGGAGACTATTACAGTGATCCAGGCAAATCAACAAGTAAGTATATAATGTAAAAGGTGCTAGGAATAAAAATAAAGCAGGCTATGATAAGGTGGATGGAAAGGATGTCAGCATTGTTTGGAAAGGCCTGTCTTATAAGGTAATACTTGAACAGAGACGTGAAGGCTATAAAGAAAACCATGCAGTATCTGATGGAATCTGAGTACTCCAGACATTAGAAAAAAGAAAAATGATTGAGGAAAAAGAGGCAAGGAAAGGAGAGGAAGAAGGGACTTAAGAGAACACAGTTTAAGGACCTGGCTTTTAGTGTAGGTCAGATGGGAAGCCACTGAAAGTTTTGGAACAGAAGAATGACAACGACCAGCTTTAAGTTTCAATCAGATCACAGTGGCTGCAATGGGGGAATTGTCTGCACATGGGCAATGACAAAAATATTAGTTAGAAGATACTTTAGTATTCCAAGAGAGAAGTAATGATAATATACAATAGGTTGATAGCAGTGACCGTGATGATAAATGGTTGAAATCTGGATATTCTGAAGGTATAGCCAACAAATCCTGCTAAAGAAACAGATATTGAGTAAGTACAAAAAGGAATGAGTAGGTTTTGGTCTTAGCAATTAGAAACATGGAGTTGCCATTTACTGAGTTAAGGAAGATTGTAGAGGAAATAAGGAAATTTAGGAAGAAGCAAGGAGACAATTTATTTAAAAAGTTAAATATCTCAATTCTGGATTACAGGATTCTAAATGTAATTCAAATGTAATTATTATAACAAAAATTAGAATAATCAGTTCCCAAAATGTATCCATCAGAAACAGTATTTATCACCAAATTGTTTGAGCCTCAAACTACAAATCCTCAGGGCTGCTCACAGACTCATACTTTTCAAAATGGCCATCTTCATTATTTCAAACCATGTTGGTCAGCTTTACATATTTAAGCAAGTATCTGATTCTTCATAAGATACTCATTATGTGCTTTTTGAAATTATAGTAACATGCTTCATCAAAAGGGCTTACATTTTAAATTTTAAGTTCAATCAGCTTACCTGAAGTTCTTTGTAACTATCTTGAAAAGAAATGGCTTCTTGCTCTTTTTCTTTTAGAAAGCCTTTTTCTAAAACATTATGCTTTTCCATCAATGATTCCACATCCTAAAAGAAAAATCCAAATACAAGCTTTGTAATATTTAATGGCATAAAACTTAGTTTTTTCAATGAACATATCAGAAAACATTTATCTGAGAACAAATCCACGGGAGGTATGGTTTAAAATCTAACAATATTGTAACTGTTATACTTCATTCTAATTTCTAGGCCAATATCAAACATGGACATAACAATTACTCATTCCAATAAATGAATATGAGCATCTAAACTAATTTCATCAACATAATTGATCTCTACATACACTTTCTATAAATTCGCTAAGCTCTTTTCATAGATATATTCACAGGGAAGAAAGCGTAAGTAAAGAATTTACTAAAATGGCTGTATACCTAAGTACTCTTGTCAAATATCCCATGATGCCTGACTTCCTATAGGGAGAAGTTAATGTTGCAAAATTTCACCTATTCATAAGAAATACAACATTATCTACTTTCAAAGTAAATAAAAATAAACCAAAAAAGAAGCCATAGAGGAAAAAATCTAGTAAAAGATATTCATATCTTTAAAAGTACATATGTAAAATATATTTCTTATCAAAGGCTTTTCCAAGTGATAAGCTCATGACTGTTTTAAACCTACCGCCAAGGGAGAAAGGTATCTTCTTCCTCTGATGAGTTTTTAGGCAGAGTTTGAGATTATATCAAATTTCTAATATTTGCAATTCAAACATTTCTCAGGCAAACGCAAATATACCTTTTTAATTCTCTGTTTTTCTTCTTCAGATACTTTGAGTTTAATCTCCAGACTTGAAATTTTTTGCCGAAGTTGTATGTTAGATACATTGGCTCCCGGATCCTCACAATCATCCACAAGGGCAATTGTTCCATTACTTTTTTCATCGTTTAAACCCAATGGAAAAAGTGAGATATCCAGATGAGTGTGTGGTGATTGTTGAATCTAAACCACATTAAAAAAAAAGAAAGAAAGAAATACAAGAGAGGAAAGTTTACACTATACCAATAATGAAAACATCCAAAGGGCACTAGAAACCACATTTGGAAATTAAGTTGTTGAAAAGGTTCTGAAATTATTTCACCCTTTAAGTAAATCAAAAGAAGACCTCAAACTGTTACAATTCGATCTTTGCTGTAAGAAACAAAATTTCCTCTTAATTTTAAAATCTAAAATATTCATTATTTTGCTAGCAATGCACTAAAAAGCTTAAAACTTTTTCCTATGTTTAAAAATGTATGAGTAAGGATAGACATATCTGGTTAACGGTTCTTAAATTTATACACCGACATAGAATTTGTTTATATTTTGAACTATAAATCAAAATTTGCAATTTATCAATGACCTCTATTGATAATCACTTTCTCACAAAATTAACAGGTGACTCAAAATTGTGTACAGCACTTTAGAAATTGGCACTACCTCCAGCAGCTAGCACAAATGCTTGGTTTAAAAATTATTTGAATGAATAAACATTGTAACGGCTATCTTTTTGGTTTTTACTCTAAAATTGAAATAGTTGCTTGAATCCCTGAAAATGTGTGATAAGAGTCACTGAAAAGACACACACTTATTCTTTTTTGTATTATTTTCCCTTTTGTAGTTCAAGATTTGGAATGCAAAGCCAAATAAATTTTAATAAATGAGATACTCGAATCATAATTTGGTAACTAAGGCTACTTAAATATTGTACAATTGTGTCACAAAACAAACATATCTAGTTTATTGATTTCTAAGTATTAGCATCAAAATTAGAAAACCTATTGCAGAAATACTTCTTTTAGACAAATAGGCTAAAAAAGAAATTTTAAAAGCAACAATTAAATTAGCAGACATTTTTTTAAGGATGCAAACTGCCTTTAAAAATATGCTTGTCTGGCTGGGCATGGTGGCTCACACCTGTAATCCCAGAACTTTGGGAGGCCGAGGTGGGCAGATCACCTGAGGTCAGGAGTTCGAGACCAGCCTGACCACAAGAGACATGAAGAAACCCCTTCTCTACTAAAAATACAAAATTAGCCAGGTAAGGAGGTGTATATGCCTGTAATCCTAGCTATTTGGGAAGCTGAGGCAGGAGAATTGCTTGAACCCAGGAGGTGAAGTTGTGGTGAGCCAAGATCACCCCATTGCACTCCAGCCTGGGCAATAAAAGCGAAGCTCAGTCTCAAAAAAAAAAAAAAAAAAAAAGCTTGTCTTTACCTGTGCTTTAGAAATAGTTTGACTCACAGTGCTGTTCTCTGCATGTGTATTCTCTGATGATAAAATAATTGCATCAGAAGAGAGGCAGCCAATGGTAGAAGAGTGGTCATGGTCCAGTACAATCTCAGGAGAAGATGGTGAAAGATGGACTCCGGATACTGAAGAAAAACAACAAAAAGGATAGGATTATTAAAGAGAAACAGAGGAAACAGGTTGAAGGGAAAAAGAGCTGAAACAGAGAAAAGGAAAAAAGTAAAAGTAAAAGCAATGAGGGTGAAAAATCAGGATTCTATGACTATTCCTCAGGGCCCAATCTCTGAAAGCTAACACTACTGTTTTTAAATTTAACATGACATTTCCATGTGAGAGCCAGGCAAACAAAATAGTTTTATAATGTCTTAGTGTTTACTTACTAACACAGTACCATAAGAAGTACATTTCCAACATAGAGAAAATACTCATATATATTATACATTCATTCATTTCATTCAGAAAAATCCATTTAATTTTAAAAAGCACTAGAGTGCCTACCAGTGCCAGTCATAGGCATTAGGGACTGAAGAGACGGCAGTGAGCAAGACAGATGCACTCATGTATTCAATGGCTTTATGACTCAGTTGCCATATCAATCAATTAATATTTATTACAATAAAATGAGTAAGGGAAAAGAACAATTACTTTGAAACAACTAATCCAACACTATCTGCATTAAGGTCTTCTTTTGTGACAACCAAAAGATTTTTCGTGTTATTGTCGACATAGAAAAATAATAATTTTTCTTTTCTTTTTCAATTAGCTTAAAAAAAATCATTAGATTGTGATTAGAGCTCAAATATAAAGGTCCTGAAAGGAAAGCCAAATATCAAATTAGGACATAGGACAAAAGTACAGATATTAACAAGATAAACAGGTTGTATACATATTACTTGATTTTTAAATGTTCTTTCTAAAAATTCAAGTATATTTGGATTATGTGTTTTAATATTTAAGGAGAGTGAGTCATTTTTTGCTGCAGCCCATTTATACGTTTTGACTTTCTAAACTATAAAGACCTTTATTCCACATTGGCATCAGTAGCAACGTCAGTGAAGTTCTACCATAAATTCTGGAAGGCAGCTCACAATGGAAATTGCATGTTTCCCTGAAGAAAGACATTTATAAGGCCAACAAATATATCAATTTGTGACTGATATTCTAACGGTTCATTTATCTTATACACACTTCAATTATGCAGCAATATTGTATTTTTGAGGTATTACCTGCCACACTATATAATTAATATAGTCTAGCTTCACCCATAGGCATTTCAATTCTTTAGCTCAAATACAGAAAACTGAAATTTTAATTTATGTTTGTACTTGGTATCCTTACTTCAGAAATTATTTTTTTCTAATATTCACTATTCTATAAAAGTAGATTTAATAGTATTTAATAGTATGTCTGATAGGACAAGTAGCATCTTCAATAGATCCAATGGAGTGACGAGGATTGGGTCGAGGAAGAAAATGGAGACAGGGAGTATGAACTGTTCAAGAAGTTTTTTCTATTCTATAAAAGTAGAATAGTGAAAAGAGTTCTTCCAAATGTCAAAATATTTCCATTTCTAATTCTGTATTATAATTTACAACAAAAATATTGCTAATAAATTTTTAAAGGAATGAAAGTAACTACTATGGTGGAGTGAGAAGGAATACAGCCTTATGATTAAGAGCATAGACTCTTGAACCACACTGCCAGACCAGGTATAGAACAATGGGCAAGTTACTGAACTTCTCTGTGCCTCAGTTTCCTCATCTAGAAGATGGGCAGAGATTTTGCTAAGGTTCAAACTGTGTAAAACATGTAAAGCATTTAGGACAGTGTTGATATTTTATTAAAGATTAAAATTTATAGGGCAAGTATGTTTATTTAAAGGTATATATGTGGCTATAATCCTGTATTCAAGAAACTATTAACAGTTTCATTCTGATCTAACACCTATTTTAATATTTATGTTATTCATATTTATAGGCATAAGATGTCATGCTATCACAAGTTAAATTCTCATCTGTAACATTAAACATTCAAGTGTATCATGTTAGGGAAAAAGGAAGGAAAGTGGGTAGAATACAGGAAGAGTGGGAACAAGTGAGAAAGAAAAGAGGAAAAGAAAGAAAAGAAAGGGAGAGGTTGAAGAACAGCAGAGAGAAGGAATGAAGGTACCCTGAATCTCATACTAGCTACTACCACACTATGACCCTTTCTCTTCATAACCAAAGTTCTTAAACAGTTTATAATCCCTCTCTCCATTTTCTTCTTCTGATAGGACAAGTGGTATCATCACTCCACTGGGTCTGTTATTTACGATACCACTTGTCCTATCAGATACTATTAAATCAAATAAACACTTCTGATCTTATCTTTCTTTAGTTCGCCAGAGAACATGATAATGACCCTCCATTTTTTTTTAAACTCTTCCTCTGGTGCCTGTTACACGTGATCTACTGTGTGTATACACACACACACACATATATATACACACACACATATACACACACACACATATATACACACACACATATATATATACACACACACATACACACACACACACACACACACACACACACACACACACATATTTTTTTTTTTTTTTTGAGACAGAATCTCACTCTGTCACCCAGGCTAGGGTGCAGATTTCGGCTCACTGCAACCTCCACTTGTGCTGTTCAAGCAGTTCTGCCTCAGCCTCCTAAGTAGCTGGGACTATAGGCATGCGCCACCACACCTGGGTAATTTTTGTATTTTTAGTAGAGACGGAGTTTTCCCCATGTTGGTCAGGCTGATCTTGAACTCCTAAGCTCGTGATCCACCCGCCTCGGCCTCCCAAAGTTCTGGGATTACAGGCATGAGCCACTGCGCCTGGCCGATCTCCTTGATTTCTTCCTAATACGTTGACTACTATTTCCTTGATTCCTTTTCAGCCTTTCCTCCAATAAACTTCAAGTTTCATTATTTTCTGTATCTTCTGATCTTCTCACTGTACACAATATTCTAGATTACCACTTTCAAAAGCCATTATTTAAATTACCACCTCTAAGCTAATGATACCCAAATCAACATCTCCAGTATTAATTACTCTGCAGGACTCTAGATCTATATATTCACCTTACTACCAGATAGTTCCAGTCGGCTGTCCAACAGGTATACCAGACTTACCCATCATCTTAGATAAACCTGCTTTGCTTCATGTTTTTCATCTCAGTTAACGATACCTCAAAAAAACCATTTGTTCAAGCCAGAAATGATACCACTAAGTGCTAACTTCACTCCAGTCACACCATACTACTAACATTCCCTGACTATGTCATGTTGTCCAATATCTCTGTGACCTCACAATATTATTGTCTAGGTAACAGCCACAGGCATTAGAGTCAGAAATTGACTGAAATTTAAACATTAACAATTTATGCATAATGCAACCTTAGGCAAATTACAATAATTCTCTAAGCCAAAGTTTTTTCTTCTGAAAATGGGGAAATAGGTAGCTCAAAATGATGTTATACAGCTTAAATGAGATGATGTATACCAACCACCAGCTCAGTGACAGGTACATGGTAAACATTCAGTAAATGGAAGTTGTCACTGAAGTTATCAGTTGGCAACATTCAAAACAAGCTTTTCCAGCACAATATAATTCTAATTTTCCATTGTCTATTAAGATACTACAATATTTCTAAGAAATAGTGACAAACCATATGGGATACATTTAAAGTAGTAATTAGAAAGAAAACTTTATAGCCCTGAACACTTCAATTAAAAAACAATGAATTAAATTCCCAGCTCAAACTAAAAAAGAAACAAAAAAGAAAATTTAAAAAATAGAACAAGGGAAATAATAAAAATACTGCATTCATTGAAGTATATTAATAAGAAAAAAAAATAGTACATATAATTAATCAAAATCCTGGATTTCAAATGAAAATTAAACAAAATAGTAGTTAACAATAAAAGGGAAAGAACTTAAGTATACCAAATTAAATAACAAGAAGAAAATAGCTATTAAAACAAAAGAAATTAGAAAGTAATAAGACTTTTCTACAGGCTTCTAAGCAAATCAAACATTTAGAAAAATGAAAAAATTCCTACAGAAATGTAGTTACTGAAAGTTGATGTTATATATTTTCTTGTGAAAAAAATAAAGTTAGGCAACTACTCCACAAAGAAAGCATTAGGCTCAGATTATGTCAAGAGGATTTCTACCAAATATTCAAACACTAGTTAAACCCAATATTCTAAATTGAAAAGGAAGAACACTAAAAATGAAGGAAAACTTCATTAACATCAATAAAATGTAACATAATATTAAGATAGTAACACCTTATAGAGACATTAAAAATGAGAAAAATTCAAGATTTTCAGATTAGAGTATCACTTATAAATAATGAAGTATATGTTCTAAATAAAATATTAACAATATGAATCCAATACCATATTAAAATGATATGCAATGAACCAATAGAACTTACTCCAGGAATCCAAGACTGGTTATCTATCACAGAATTCATTAATACTCCAAATTAAAAGACTTAAAGAGAAACATCATTATCTCCAAGACTCTGGAAATGCTTGTGATAAAACTGAACACCCATTTCAGTTAAAAACAATCAGGAAAACAGAAACTGAAGAATACTTTCTTAACATAATAAAATATATAAACCTCAGCCCTAAGGGCAGCATCTTAAGGGGAAAAGATTAAAGGTGTTTCTGTAAAGATAAGGATGCCTACTATCTCTATAACTTTAAACATTGTACTAAAGGCCCAAATCAATGCAATTAAACAAAAGAAATAAAATAGCATAAAACAACAATTTCATATTTCTATCATGAGAATACATTTTAAATTAACTCAAATAATAAAAGCATTCAGTAAAAAAGCAGGACATAAACTTAACAAGCAGAAATCAATATAATTCATATGTAAAAACAATAACCATTTAGAGAATGTAATGGTAGAGACAAAACTTTTTCACTGCAATAGACATAATACAGTACAGAAGAATAAACTTAGCATGAAATGAGGAAAACTTTAAAACACTCCTGAAAGACACAAAAATAGACCTAAACAAAGGTAAAGGTATCTCTTATAATAGGACAGGACATCTAGAAATCATAAAGA